TGTCGTCTCGCTTGAAGGCAAATTTTTGATGGGAATTTTGAGGAGAGCGTAAGTATGTTGTTAAATGGGGTTGTTCTGAAGTCGGAGATTGGGAAAAGGGTCGTTTTTATGCTATCATTTTCGACGCGATGATGTGCCCAGGGTAAAAGGCTCTCTGTTATGAGTTATCAGCTGCCCGGTGCGCAAAGCCGACCTCCCCTACCGATATGAAGCTTTTTTCTCTGAGAGCTCCGCTATTACGGTGGGGGAAGGTAAGAGTTGCGCGAGTGTCCTTGAGTTCCGCTTGTTATTATATTAACTAAAAAGAACTCACTTTGGTCCACAATTTCGACCGTCTACGATTTCGACTGGGAGAGGGATGCGCGGCGCAACGCAGAGAGTGGACCAATGCATATTACCTGGTCTACGGACAAGTGATCTGACACATTCCAGCTTTTCACTCGTCACAAGTGACTCAATCACCCCGGAGCTTCTCCTTAGAACCTTATTCCCGTGGTCTTTCTCGTCTCACTGCGCCAGGACCCAGAAAAAAATTCTAGTTCCATTACTTTGCATTTTTCTTCGATTATGGTTTGTTTGACAAAAAATAAGCTCTGCGGATCACCTATGCGTTCAAATTGTGCTTGAAAATGGCCATCTAGGGCGTCTTACAATAGAGAGCTTCTTCTAATAAAGGGATTAACTTGAATCGAGGCACGCCCTGATGGAGAGGAAAATTTTTGTTCACTTTATTTATTTATTCCCATTTTTATTCAACAGAGGTATCAGTATCTGCCTAGCGGCACACTAGTCGGATACGGAAATGCATGTGGCTGCCCTCTCGAGTAAATTCTCTACAAGAATACGGGCCGGACTCATCAAAGATCCTTACTTTGTATGACCTCTCCTGAAAATTCAACTACTTTTCTGGAACTTTGCCTACTTTTCTATTCCCATTCTCTTTGTTCCCCCCCCCCCAAGATCGCCGCCCGAGGCGGACGGTGTGTGAAATGGAAAAACTGACAAAGTCAACAACCAAAAGCTTTTTTCACAAGGGCAAATACAACCCCACCACTCGAGCGTCCAAACACGACCGCTCCCGCTGGGATCCCTAGCGCATCACGTGCCTCGGACACGGAGTGCATACAGGTAGTTTTTGCAGCAAACGCTGGGGCGGGTCAAATGGGGGAGGGCTGGGTTTGGCGCGGCGTCAGCCCATTTTCACACATTATTGCTGCTTGTCCGTTTCAGGTGATGCAAAACGGGCAGGCGCCGCGCCGAACCCACCCACTCCCTCTCCTGACAAGTCCCTGCGTCTGCAGCGAAAACGGCCGTAAATGCTCCCGAAACTCCAACACTAAAAAGAAACTGATTTTCAAAAGAAAAAGAAAAGACAGTAAACGAATTTCCATCAGGACGAGTACGACTATTCTCTTTCTTTGGAACTAAAATGCAACATTTCGTTGAGGAGTCCTCAGCTTAAGCCATGCCCTGAGCACATCTCCAATCTGAGATGTTTCGATCAGGTGCGAAGAATTTCTGTGCGATGAACAAGCGTAATGAACCAGCGCGACATGCGCTGCAATTTCGACAACGGCCACTGTCAACGCGAACAGAACGGCGCGTGATTATCTTCAATCCAACTCTGATTTCTGTTGAGGAAAGAACTTGCGAATGAGTGCGCCCCATAAAATACGCACTGATGTGTGAGGGAATATGTAGGTGGTTCTAGGTAGTGTTTAAATTAACCACGTATGTCCTACAGTGCAATCACTACAAATATGATTCCAGATGGTTCTGATCGTGAGACAGCTGGTCGATCTCCATTTTGCTTGTACATCGGTGGCAGTTTTTTTTGAACACTATTTTATCGGACTTCAGTGAGCAGTACTACGTTTGTGGACACATCTTGCTGGCCAATACCTTTGCGAATGTCGCGCTATAATATGACAAAGTCTCATTTTACTAGCTTCTCGCCGTATAACTAGATAGATGACTCAGTAATATTATTGAAAGTTTCTTTGAAGTCATCAATGGAGATATGAACACAACAATGGCGGCAAAGGGTTTGACCCGGTGAGAGGTGAACGTGATCGAAATTAACCCGTAGGTTTTGGTGGGCAAGACAAATGGGGGAGAACTGCTACTTACAAGGGTTACAGTACCTTCGCTACTCACTGTGAAGCGGGAGCCTGAAAAAGGGACAGGCTGAGGGCCTGAGGACTAATTCACTTTTACAAGGAAGGACGCCTAGAGTTGCTCGAGCGCGGGACTGTCTTCGAGAAGTATGAGCCAACGTAAGGTCCAACACTGCCTTCGAAAGTTGTACCTGATCTTGAAGAAATCCCAAGCAGTTGGTTTGATTGGTGAAATCATAATAGCTCTGCAGACTCTGATACTGGTCGCTTAAAACGCATTGCTTACCTAGTTCAAAAGAAAATATTGTATTTTATTGGAAACTTTCGGTGGTGAAACTAAAATTAGGTACTAACTGGTTGGATGAGAAGAATACATTATACACAAAGTCCTTTCGGCCAATGTTGATCTCTGCACTTATCTCCTTCCGCAAAAATCTGATATCGAAGGAAATGGGGTTAGAAAGCGAAAAATTACTCTTTTATAAAAAGCGCGATGGAAAATTATTTTGCACAGAGTGATGTTGTGCATTCTCAAAATACAGAACAGCTTCAACACCGAATAGCTGCTGTCAAAAAAAGGGCGTAGATCTCATCTCGTTTGGATCCACCTGCTTGCATCACCTTTGAACCTGCATTGCATTGCCACGGCAGCACGAATCAAGGCGGATGAGCGGGGTCATGGATCCAGGAATGATGCCTGCTTCCTTTTCCTTTTCTGGCACTCTAGACAAGAGGAGGGTCTTTCAGTCGCATGGTCGCGTTTTTTATAAATGGTTTGTTGTCTGTTGTGGGCTTCATACAAGATCATAAGATGGTTCATTTTGCTATTGCGTTTCTGGAGGGAAGGATATCTGACAAGAAAGGGCGATTTCAACAATGCCGGGGCCCATTCTGATTGTAACTTCACTGCACTGTTTATAGGCGCTCGTTAATTAGGCTTCAAAAATAGTTTCAGATAAAGCCAAAATATAGGTGTCAGTTACTAAAACACTTGGCATGCACCGACGCAAAAGTGATGTTTTGCTCTATCGGGTCTAGTCTTGGATCTCCTTGGTGGCAAAATCTCTTGTGGCAAACAGTTTCAGCAACACAATACCGAGAGTCTGTTGTAAAGTTAGACCGTTGCGCCGCTCATCCCGGTCCGGCCCCGTGAGCATGGAAGGGAGCCGCCTGACAAAAAGCATCATTTTGTGCGATCAGTGAATGCCAAGTGTGTTACTACATCATACTTATATTTTGAATTTAATTGAAACTATTTCCGTAGCCTGGTTAACTAGCACCTCATTAACAGTGCTTGAAGTACATATCAGAACGGGGCCTCATTAAAAGGCACAGTTCGCGACCGCAAATTGCGGGAAACGGAACTCAAATAGGCACAAAAAAGTGCTAAGTATCTGATTAGCGGAGAAAAGCAGCAGAAAAAGCAGTCCGAAATGTTATAGAAAAGATACTACGATGGCTACCGAGCTAGTACTTAGCAAGCCGGTAGGTCGGCATGGCCTAAGGGTGTCTCATGGGCGCTAAATAGGTCAGCTTCCAACGAGTTCTTGGTCGTTTTTTTCAGTCATTTTGAAGCCTCAAAAATGCGCCTTCCGGGACCGTCGACACATTTGAGGCAGTCATAGCCGTTATTTTTCGCCTCGGAAACTGTGCGCTTTTAAGAGAGTCAAAAATACCCATTCTGGTCAAGACCTTTTCCGTTAGTTTCGACCTCCCGCAGAATATATATGCAAAAAAAGAAACCCATTTTGAGATCCTTGTATGGACCATTACAACAAGCAACAAACCATTTTAAAAAAGCGCTAAACCACCTGAAAGGCCTTCCTTGTAAGTTGAATTTGCTCCCGTGTTCTGAGTAGAACAACAAAGGTGAAATAACCATGCGATGTTCCTTCCTCTGTAAGCAGAAGCAAAACCTCATCTTTTTTTGTCCCCGGTCTTGAGACTGTAGTAGTCCACCATTGTCAACGAGCACAACGAGGCCTACAGTCTCGATGTCAGCCAGAAGCAGCTAATATTCACATCTGAGCCACTTGCGTAGTACATGTTCGGGAAGACTCTCGCACCGGGTGACACCGATCGTCCCGTTGTTTGGACAACGTCGCTACCGCTCACGACTTTTTTAGAGCTCGACTCTGTCAGTGAAGTAGAGTAACGAACACACAGGGGTATAAGGATAGTCGTCTTTGTTGTTTGGATATTCACTGAAAGAGGGACCATTGATGACATTAATTTTTTTTCAGAATCGAGTGCTTTTCTGAAACAGAACCAAAAAAATAAAGGGGAGTATCCGGGTTTGAGAAGGTTCCGCTTACTTCTCGCAAGTCGTCAGCATGATAAGCTAATGCTCGCCGATAAAATTAATCCAACTGCTTCATCTGAAATAAAGAAACACATAGTTCGTGATAAGGCACTGTCATGCGGTTCGCCATCGTTGCTCTCATTCTTCTTCAAAAGTCTCACGCTTCCAGAAAAAGCGCTCTACCAAAGGTCAGTTCCCCGTGCGGTACTTCTTTCAATGAACAACGCTATTGTCTAGCTCGAGAATACAATGTGGCGCAGTACGGCTACGGGAGGGGTGCGGGAGAGGAGGTACCAGATGGTGCAAAGCTTACACACCGAATTGGCCCACTTAACTTATTTCGCAGCTTTACAAGTGCTTAGAGGTCTCGTCAAAGTGCTGGGAGTTATCATGCTCAGATAAAGGGAGTACTAAAAGGGAGACGGACAAGAGAATCGTAAGCCGCGCCGTCGCGTGCGGCGCACCATAGCCGCGTGCGAACTTTTCAATGCTGGGTATCACGTGGTGATTGACGCGGAGAATTCGAGCGTGCTCAGCTCCTCGATTGCAAGAACTTCGCCAAACTGTGGGAATTAATGCATATCCTTTGTATAAAATTATTTTTTTTCCCCGCATTTCCGCACATGTAGTCTGTAACGACGAGTCGGAGGCACCGCTCTACCAATGGTGATGTAGCACTGACTGATGTAAGAAAGAAACAGCAATTAGGCAGCGCTCTGTCTAGACTTGCGGCGTTGGTAGCGTTTCTGTCGCTTCTGTTCGACGCGGAATGCAAGGCGCAGTAAAAGTGTGCGCATCGATCGCGCCCGAACGCGCGAGCGAAGCGCTGCCGTCGCGAAGTCTGAACGCTGCCTTAGAGGGAGCGCCGCAGGCGGAAGTCAACTGATTGCGACCAGACTGGTTGCGGTGATGTAAATTATATTCCACTTCACCGACGGCTGACAATATGGAGCATCAGAACACTTTAGCGTCCTTGGTAGTATCACCCTTCTCCTTCAATTCGACTTTGAAAAGCTCTCGCGACGCAGCGTTGCTCGCCACGCTTTCCAGCGCGGCAAATTACGATTCTCTTGTCATTTATTCCAGTTCGCTGCGGATAAAGGGGGGGGGCATGTCGGGGAGTATGAGTGCGCTACGGCGCCGAAACCGTTCTCTGCCATTAGTTGATGCGACAACCATTGGTAGCAAACGAGTGATACGAACAATACTTTTCTTGTCACTTGCTCGCTTCAACAACTGCTGGATAACGGGTTTGGCACCGCGCCAAACTCATCCCGCCTGTCACGGCCCTTTGTGAGCGGCGAATTAGACTATATACCCATTAGAGAGAATATAAAATCCTACTCTCCCTGCTTAACCGAATAGCGCCTTCCATTGCATATCAGGAGTAAATCCAGTAATCACATTTACTTGTACAGTCCGCAGTCAACTCTGGACGGTTCGATTTCACGGGCTGTCCGCTGGACAATGATTTCTACTATGGAGGTGTAATTTCATCTCCCTACTACCCAAATCTCTATCCGCCTAATACCGAATGCTACTACTACATAACTGCTGAACCTGGAAAAATTTTGAGGTATTCCACTCGCTCAGCCACTTTCTTATTTCACAGTAGCTTTTTAAAACTCAATTTGTCAGTTTCAATTTCACGCATTTCGACCTGGAGTCCTGTTGCGACTATGTGACCATCTATGACGGTGAAGGCATGCGAAGTCCAGTACTCGTACAGTGAGTTATCTTGCTGATGCGAATCGTTTAGACAGAAGGAATTCTTACGTTTTTCCAAAGCCCTATTTTATCTGCATTTCGTTTTTAGCTCCCTTTGTCGGAGATGACTTTTGCAGAATACTAAAGAACTAAAGATTAACAAAGTGATAGCTAGTAAAGTGCAAAGAGAGGCAGAGGACATAAACCGCGCCGTCTCTGTCTCCACACGGGTAAACCACTCCTCCATCAGTCTCCGAAGACAAACTGTACACTCACCCCCTGTGAATGTTGGTCCTTGTCATGTGCGAGGTGAGCGGGCTCGCAGTTGCAGTAGTGCTCTATTTTCTCCGCTCATAAGAGCACGGGAGCGGAGCTGGAGGGTAATGTTCCCGGTGCCGTTCATGGATTCAGCCCGTACAGCCAGCCGCACGCTAACCAGGAAAGGTCAACAGGTCGCCATGGCCATTCAAGATGAGATGTATATCGACGTGTAGGTCTTGGGACGCTGAACTCAAATCTGCTTCCAAAATTGATTCTCTGTGAGGAGTTAGGGGGGTGATGGTTTTAGCATAGCACTCGCCGATCCTCCTTTGCGTAGCTCAAGTTAAGTTCGAGTACAGAAAGTCTCAAGTGGTCGATGGTGTAGTGGATAGGTAAGTTGCTTCATAGGCGGAGGTCATAGGTTCGATTCCTTGACAGGGTCGAATTTTTGCATTTTTTCGGAACATCTTCTGCGAGTTCAGAAAATACTTTTATCCGTTTCTTTGTCAACCTTGCTCTTACTTGCAGCAGAAAAAGACTCAATTGCCGGCAATTCTGCTTCGCCTTGAATAGTTTTGGGCAGTGTTTACCCTTTACCCAAGTTACCCGGAAGCAGGCCAGTTCTTGTTCGACTTTTCTTCCTGAGGTAGAACGTGACTGAAAGAGTTCGATATAGGGTAGGCTGCCATACCTGAACATGATTTCATAGTCCGGTTGGCAGGCAACTCTGCGCCCCGTTCACAGGCGCAAGGCGCCAAAATACGCATAGATGCACAAGTTGCGTTGATAACTTGTCAGCTGGGGTAGTTTGACCATCCCTAGACCATATCAAGCGGGCCCGACGGCGTACAGTCTGAAACCGCTGAAGCATACGCAAAGCGACCCATCACAGGCTTGTTCGCTTATTAACTGGGCGCGTGTAGCACAGACTCCAGTCGCTCTGTGGGGCAGTTGGGCAAACTGGCCGAAGTAACGCACCACTCTTCCTGGTTGCCTGTCATAGAAATCCTTCCCTTTGCTGAGGTTCAGCCTGCAGAGAAAGGGCCCCATCTCAGGGGAGGGTGCAGACGCAGGTTGCGCAATCACATTATCCCTTTTTCTCTATCCCAAACATTCTCAACGCCCCACACAGATGTGATGTGTTAGGAGGTCAAACTGCTCCAGTTGAAAAGTTTAGTGATTCTGGTGATTTCGAGTATTATGGCGCCGGCGCCAGGCATTTCCGGGCTCAGCTAATGGGATATTCGTGTCCAGGGGGTCAAACTACCCCAGTTGACAAGTTTTCAACGAACTTGGTGATCTAGGGTATTTTGGCGCTGGCGCCTGTGACACGGGTGCGAGGAGGTTTCGTGCCGAGCGGATGTGATAATCATGTAGATTCATTCGGAGTCAGTACAATTTAAAATTGCTCAAAATAACTCACCTTCCACTTTCGAAGCTTGAAGAGTTGAAAAAGTGGGAATTCGCAGCCGAATTCCATGGAAATCAGCTGATTCGCCGTCACCGAGCCGCAGCCGCTGTCGCGTCACATGCAGCGCGGCTGTGCCGCCCCGACAGTCCGTAATGATGAGGACTGTACGTGAAAACTGACTTGCTCGTGAATAAAAAAAAGCTAGGGAAACAGCCAAAAAAGAAATAACGAGAGTTTCGTTGTCTCCTTGTGCATATTTTTGATGGAGGGCAATTTGAGGGTGTCTGTACCGAAATTACGGTGAAGTTGAATTGTGCGAATTCCTTTGTGTAGTATGGTGTCAATGAAATAGTGCCACTTTCTCTGATATTATAGAATTCTACTGTAACGTTGAGCGTGACTGTTGGTTTCCACGCAGCACATTCGAAGACTTCGTATGCTTGAGAAGTCGTTGGAATATGCGAGATGCGATAGAAGGTACAAGCTCGCCATGGAGCAATCCAAGGGATTATGCACATGCATCTGATGCCGCTGCATTGTGTAGGAACACGAACTGTATCCTGGGTAAGGAGCGCTATCGTTCAACTCAGGAATTATTTCGGTGGATTTCATGGATTCACATCTGTCACTACGACAAGATCCCATTCCAGGGCATCTTGTAACATAGTCCATTCGATGGTATGTTTTTCTGGTCCAAAAGGAGACCAACGCTTACGTTTCGATGGCGCAATTGTATGCATAGGCTAGTTTGGATGTCATTGAAGAGTACCTCTCGCCTATACTCGTAGTGACACTCACTTCGCTCCGAGCAGACGAGGTCGATGGAGTGTCTCATGTAGCCATTTTGGCAAGCTGAGCTTGATGTGG